GCCAGTGCGCCAGCGACAACTCACCTCTGTCCAGGGGCTGGCAGACGTGCTGGCCGAGGACAGGAAGCCCAGGTCCAGGCTGGCTGAGGAGTTGAGCGAGCCCTGGGACTCCCGCCACAGCATGGCATTCCCACCGCCTTCTCCCCCTTCTAGGACAGACAGAGGAACGGTGGTGGGGACCGTGGGCTCCCTTTGGGGGCAGCACAGTCCCGACTGCCCCACTCGGGGCAGCACCTACCTGCCCAGGAGGGCTCCCGCCGTTCTCCCTTCCTGAAGGACCGGCGGGGGCTGCGGTTGGCACCACTGCCCGCCGTCTCCACACCCAGTGGCAGGGACTTGCCCAGCTTCAGCTTTGACTTCTGGGGTGAATAGAGAAGCACCTCAGCGTGGGGACATCTGAGGCTGCCTCTTCCCTTTCCCCACTCCCCTGACCTCTTGTCTGTCCTCAGCCTGGGACTGGATTTGCTCCGAGGAACAGGGAAAGGACCCAGAATCATTTTCTCAGGCAAAGGGACAGGTCTCCATCCCCCCTTCCCACCCCACTCACCTTGCTGAGGTCAGGCGGGGGGCTGCTGCTGCGGGAGTGGGGCCGCAGGTCAGGCAGGGGCTGTCCCTGGCTCTCTGCCCGCAGGCAGGCCTGGTAGAGCGGGGATTTAACGAAGCGCGTGTAGCTGTCAAACTTCATCAGGTTAAAGATCTGCAAAGGGAGGATGCATGGGCTTAAGACCCCTGCCCACCTACAGCTCACTCTGGCCACTGCCCCGTGGCACAGCCCCCCGGTGACAGCAGAGATGCTGGGTGATGCGCAGGGTGGTCCCGCAGCCCCCATCCTGTGGGTGGGGTGGAGCACAGGTGCTGCTCATACCTGGAGCTGCTGGATGCGAAACATGTCTGGGGAGGGGGTGGCCAGCATGTCCTCCCCAATCCAGGCCTGCTTGTCGATGTTCACGGGAGTGACAGAGTGGCTGGAGAGGAACTCATCATAGATCCGCCGTGCCTCCTGGGCCAGCTAGGGGAGCAGGGGGTGTCAGGTCAGCACCAGGAGTCCCCTCCTCACTGTTGCCCTGTGGGGAGCCCCTGACTCACCCCATGGAGCCACCTGAGCCCTCTGGGGCTGAGTCCCCCTGGGACCAGCTCGGTACCTGCACATCAGGACGGGCATCAGAGCCAGCCTCCACCACCCAGTGCCAAGCTCCGGGCACAACACGCCAGTGTCTCCATGGAGGTACAGCCCGAAGTAGGAACTGTCACCCCCAGCTGTGTGGCTCTGTCCTCATGAGCCCCTGTCTAGCTCTCTGCCCTTGGTCTCTTGTCTTCCCAGCAGCATTCTCTACCCTCTGGCCACCCTGGGCTGGAGAAGCATGTTCTGCTCCGTGGACTGTGGCTTTTAAGATGCACATTGCATCTCCTTCTGCCTCCCGCAAAAGACCCCAGCCTGCTCAGCCTCCCAGAACAGGGGTCTGCCAGGACCCTGGGACATGCAGGCACGACAGCCACCTCCACCTCTGCCCACATCCCTCCCAGCAGCTGCATCACCCAGGCTCAGCCACACCATGGCTGTGCGGGGGCCAGTACCTGCTGCGTTTCACTGGCCGGGATCTGCTGGAAGCGCTCGCATGCCTGCCAGAAGTAGACATTTTCGGCACTGAACTCCTTCTTGAGGAACTCCTGCAGGGTAGAGAGAGCTGCTGGCCTGGATGACACCACAGCTGTGGGACGGCTTGGTTGCCAGTGACCAGGAGTCAACGTTAACAAGGATTGAGGTCTGGGCTGTGGCACTCACAGTGAAGTAGGTGACAGCCACACGGTCCTGCAGCAGCGTCTCAAAGGATTCGGCCCAGCTGACCACAGACCCTTGTGTGGATCCGCAGGTGGCCGGCGGTCCTGGCAGGCTGTTCACGCTGTGGTTGCTGCCACGGGCCCTGGAGGCATTTAGCTCTGAGAGAGAAAAAGGGTCAGTTCTGTCTGCCTGGGTGTCCCCCAGCGTCACACCCCTGTTGCCAGCAGCCCCCATATCTGCAGTGAGTTCATCCACCCCATGCTGATGCGAGCCAGCGAGACGTCAGGAAGGGAGCATGAGGAGCTGGTATCACAGTGGCATCCTCAGCGGATCAAGCGCCGTGATGCCACATCTGGCACCTTCCGGTGTCACAGCCCTCCCTGCCAGCACTGGCCATCCTCCCTTCCCCAGGGTGTCACTGTGACTCCACCTGTGACTCATCTCCCCCGGGGAACAAAGCTGATGTGGGGAAGGCACCCAGCCAGAGAGGGAAAGTGGGGTGGAAGGGGACACAGGGGGCACATGGCGTGGAGGGAAGCTCAGAGGATGGGTAGAGGTGCCTGAACTTACCTTCTACATTCCTCTGGCCATGACAAGGAACAAACCCAGCGAGAGGAGGGCACACAAAGTGTCATACGTGGCTCCCAACCCCAAGGAAACCCTCCCTCGGGGAAACCCAAGGTGACCATGCATTCAAATGGAGTCTTCCGTCTTTCTGATGGAAGTTCCCAGGGGCAACCCCAGCTTTTGAACTGGTCTGGCTGGTGAACAACTGGGAGTAGAGGGTCATTTGCAAGAGAACGTAAGGGTATGGAAGCAAGGCTCTCCCAGCAAAGCTGGCAGGAGCAGAGGAGGCAGCAGGCTGCTGCTTTGCCAGGCTCCCCACCCTTCTCCTCCTGTACAAAACACGGGATAACTGCACACACCCTGCGCGTGCAGATGGGAACAGCAGCCCCTGGCACCTTGCACTGGAAGGATCCTGCAGCGGGACCAAGATGTGCAAATGGGCTGACTAAGATATCTGGTGCACAACGAGACAGATGGACAGACTCCCTCAGGGAACCCAGGGCTGGCCCCTACACAGGTTCTGCTTTCCCTGGGAAGCCACTCGGCCCCAGCACCCAAGGAAGTCAGCTGAGCAGCCAGAAGGGAGGGACAGGCGACACGGGGCCGTGCGGGATGGATGGGGAGGGTATGGCGAGTCCCTGGCACAGGGCTTAGCCCGGCACTGGGGGGGGGGCAGCCATGCACTTGCCCACGGCACAGCCTGGGCTGACACAGGACCTGGCTCTCT